CCAAGAAAAAATTTGAAGGGAAGTGTTATAATTGCGGGAAGAAGGGTCACATGGCAAAAGATTGTTGGCCGAAAAAAGGGCTTGTGGAAAGTAATGCTGCTACTTCCAAAAGCGAAGATGAGTGGGACGCTCAGGCATCTTTTGCTGCAATAGAAGAATCAGCTTTTACAGCAACAACGTCTGAACAAATTGATTATGAGAAAGATTGGATCATTGACTCAGGTTGCTCAAATCATATGACGGGTGATGAAGAAAAGCTGCAGGATTTGTCGGAGTACAAGGGAAGACATGTGGTGGTCACAGCGAACAACTCAAAGCTACCGATAGCTCACATTGGTAATATGGTAATCTCTCCCCAATATAATACTAATGATGTGTCGCTTCAAAATGTCTATCACGTTCCAGGTATGAAGAAGAATCTTCTCTCGGTAGCACAATTAACATCTTCAGGTCATCTTGTTCTGTTTGGTCCTCAAGATGTGAAAGTTTATCGTGACCTTGAGATTATGGAAGAGCCGGTGATAAAAGGACGAAAACTAGAGTCAGTCTATGTGATGTCTGCAGAAACTGCATATGTAAACAAGACCAGAAAGAATGAGACAGCAGATCTATGGCATATGTGATTAAGTCACGTTAGTTACTCCAAACTAACTGTGATGATGAAAAAGTTAATGCTGAAGGGACTTCCACAACTTGAAGTAAGAAAAGATACAATTTGCGCAGGATGTCATAAGCACAAAAACAGCTCTAAGATAGGTATAAAATTGATGCAAGAATGGGGAAAAAAAAGACTAGAATCTCACCCTTGAAGACCCCTTCACAAATGGTGCTCCAATGGCCTCCTTGAGCTTGAATCCAACACCAAAATCTCAAAACACACTCTTTAGAACCTCAGCTCCAAGAGGAAGGTGAAACACTAGGTGTTTGTATGCAATAGTGAGACACAAAACACCTAGTGTACAAAATGAGAGGAAAAGAGAGATAGGTGAGTGTATCTAACCCTAACCCTAGAAAAACCAGAGCTCTCCTCTGTCTTCTCTCTTCAAAAAAATGTCTAAAAGCCTCCCTCTTTTTGCCTTAGAGAGAGCTCCTCTCTATATGCCTCTTGTAAAGCTTACAAGACAAGCTTTGCAAGAGGGAGATCCCTCCATACACGTGTATGGAGGGGAGCAAAAGCAATACAGCTGTCTAAAAATATCTACAAAAGAAGATGAACAACAATCGGCCGGCCAAAAATGCCATCTTGGCGAAAAAGAGTGCCGACCGGCACAAAAAAGTGCTGACCGGCAACAAAGAGTGCCGGCCGACAAACTATATTGCCGGTGGCAGCAAAAACCAGCCGGTGGCCTCTAGCCACTGCCGGTGGTGGGTGGGGATGGTCTACAAGCCCTACCCTGCCTCTCAAAGGCAAGACGCAAGTGTTTGGTGCAAAACCAGACACTAAACGGTCGAGTTCGGAGATCCTGAGGCAAGGCACGCAAGCCGAGACCTCCGGGAACTCCAAACGAACACAAACATGGATAATCACCGAGTGTCCAAACGGTGACGTCCAAGTCTTGAGGACGGTCAAAAATGAGGTGTCTACAGCAGCAAGATGGACAAGAAGGCTGTCAGATGTATTTTTGTAGGATACGATAGTCAACGAAAAGGGTGGAGATGCTGCAATCCTACAACTGGAAAGTGTTACACATCCCGAAATGTGGTGTTTGATGAATCATCTTCATGGTGGTCCTCAGAAAAGGAGATATTACCAGATTCAGATGTTTTTAAGGATGAGTTACAATCTACTCAAATCCAATTAAGCTTAGGTGAAACTAAAAATGCAGCTGATAGTGATATCGGAGATGTTGAAACTCAAAGTCCTTGGCAAACTGGTGTGGATGGACAACCAAGCGAAGAAGGTGAGCCTAGTGAAGCTGAAGCACCAATTCCACTCAGAAGATCAGCAAGAACCAAGAAACCAAATCCCAAATATGCCAATGCTGCCATAGTAGAAGATGCAAACGCAAAAGAACCAGAGACATTTGAAGAAGCATTTCAGAATCCAGACTGGAATAAAGCTATGGAAGAGGAAATTGCAGCATTAAAACAAAATCAAACTTGGGAGCTCATGCCAAAGCCAAGAGATGTAGAACCTATTTCATGCAAATGGGTTTATAAGATAAAGCGTCGCACAGATGGATCAATTGAAAGGCACAAGGCTCGTTTGGTAGCTCGAGGATTCTCTCAACAATATGGACTAGACTACGATGAAACGTTTAGTCCAGTTGAAAAGCTTACAACTGTACGAGTCTTACTTGCACTTGCAGCTAACAAAGATTGGAACTTGTGGCAGATGGATGTGAAGAATGCATTCTTACATGGAGAGTTGGACCGGGAGATCTATATGAATCAACCGATGGGCTTTCAGAGTCAAGGTCATCCTGAATATGTGTGTAAGTTGCGGAAGGCACTCTACGGATTGAAACAAGCACCCAGGGCATGGTATGGTAAGATTGTTGAATTTCTAACTCAAAGTGAGTATTCAGTAACACTTGCAGATTCCAGCTTGTTTGTTAAAGCTAATTGTAACGCCCTCAAAAAAATGACATTAAACCATCAATTAAGACATTCATTGATATACAAAATATCCACATTCTTCTATTAATCAGAATTTCATTACAAAAGTATTACATGTTAACAACAAAAGCAAATTGCCCTACGGGCTTACAGCTTTCCAAGTTAACACTTGGTTAAAACAAAAGAGTGCTAACTCATTTACACGTTAAGCCCTTGGCTTGAATTTACATGTAATACATCAAAAAGAAATAAGCCAACAAAAGTGTGTCCGCCTCTAGCCTCCCAAGCTATGTCCTTGGAGGTGGCATGCTACCTGTACCTGAAAATGATATTCCCATATAGGGTGAGCCACAGCCCAGTAGAAACATACTAAACCAAACATGAACAATGTCTAAAAGATTAGCAGTTGATAGATGGCCAACACTGATACTTTCCCTTATCACACTTAATTGATAGATGGCCAACACTGATACATCCACATATATCACATTTTTATGTCATACGACTTATGAGTCCAAGTTACTTTTCATTTTCCCTTTTTCGACAGATACGCATATTAGCTCTATCATCATCTCAACAGACATGTATAAAAACTATATCCCACATTCACAGATAAGCACATAAGCTACATCCACATTTCACAAAGATAAGCATGCTAGCCCTATCTTTACTTCTCTAGACAAGCATATGAGCTGTATTTACACTTCTCAAAGATAAGCATATGAGCCCTAAGATAAGCATGTTAGCCTATCTTTACTTCTCTAGACAAGCATATGAGCTGTATCTACACTTCTCAAAGATAAGCATATGAGCCCTATCTTCATTTCTCTAGACAAGCATATGAGCTGTATCTACGGAGTTCATCCCTCATCTCCTCCCAACACTATCCGGTTTAGAGGTATATCCCTCATCTTCCCCTAAATTACGGAGTACATCCCCTATCTCCTCCTCTATACACAATGCATATAAACACAAAGGTTCTATACACAATCAATCAATACATAAAGTTAATGTATTCAATTCACCGTCATACTCTATGACACATTCAATCGATTAGTTTTAGTTTGCCTAATCATCATGCATTGTCTACAACAATCAAAACTACCCTCCACCGCCAGCCCAAGCAGTTATTTCTAAACGGATAATAAAAGCTCCAACAGATAAAATATCAATGTTTTCAAAAGTGGGCGATTAATAAATCCAACTCCACTATTCTACTATATAATGAGTCAACTTCATTATTTCCAACTCTATTCCAAATATCAACATTTTTCCCAAATTAATTATACTAATTAATTTACACAACGAATTAGGGCTTTCTCCCCCATTTTCCAATATTGACCCAATGGTCCATATATCAACAATCAACATCAATAAACAATGTAATTAGGTCAATTCCCATAATTAACATTTCAACCCTTAGGTCCCATTTTCATCAATGACTTAACATTTATTCCATTTCTCTATGCCAAACATGCATTCAGGTTTATTATGAATAAAACCCCAACTTTTGTAAAATTACACAAAGCCCCAAACTTTCACAAAATTACCAAACCAACCCCAACATCTCAAAATACTAAAATTTAAAGACAAAATTCATAGAGAGGAGTAGGTTATCCCTACCTCAAAGTTAGAGCTCGGATGGAGAAGAAGCCAAAACCCAAAATGCTCCAAAGACCAAGATTCCCGGATCAAAACGACGCCCTCGATGATCCACACAACCTTTACAAAGGCCGAAGAGAAGGAGGACACTCTAACTAGATCAAACCCTAGAGAGAAGGGAGTTTCTACAGAGAGAGGCTCTCAAAAAAGGTTTTTAGAAAAAGTAGGAGAGAGAAAGAAAAGCAAAAAGTGATTTAAAATCACCCAGCAGATAACTCATATACGTATGACCCGCTCGAGCGGAGAACACAACGCTCGAGCGCCAAGAACAAAAATCTAGACACGCTCGAGCGCAATAAGGCCCGCTCGAGCGCCAAGACACAAGAAAAAAGCACCTCCGCTCGAGCGCGAAAACCAGTCCGCTCGAGCGTAGATTTCCCCCTCCCAGAACTTATACCCAGAAAGTACTACCCGCTCGAGCGCCAGCAAACCCGCTCGAGCGCCACCGCTCGAGCGTAAACAAACCCGCTCGAGCGTAAAAATCACACCTGCAGAAGTTCGTAGAAGTTTTGCAGGAACCCGAAATACTGGAGGTGTGCAATACCCGCTCGAGCGCAAGAAGACCCGCTCGAGCGGACCGCCTAAAAACTGAACAACAAGGAATTGAAATCGAGGCCTAACCAACCTGTAACAACCTTCCTCAAAACATCCTAAAACTCAATCAAGTGGAATTAAAGGACAACAACAAGATAGATACCACTATCAACTTCATGGAACCGAGTCCGGAATACAACAGAACAGTAAAGGGACAACCGGGATCGCTATACTAATGGAGGAAAGTTAGCTATTGTACTTGTATACGTAGATGATCTAATCATCACTGGAGATGATGCTGAGGAAATTTGCCGAACGAAGGAGAACTTGTCAGTTCGTTTCTAGATGAAAGAACTTGGACAACTTAAGCACTTTCTTGGGCTAGAGGTGGATCGTACACAAGAAGGGATATTTCTCTGTCAACAGAAATATGCCAAAGATTTGTTGAAAAAGTTTGGGATGCTCGAATGTAAACCGATCTCAACACCGATGGAACAGAATGCTAAGATGTGTGCACACGATGGCAAAGACTTGAATGATGCAACAATGTATCGGCAATTGGTGGGTAGTTTGCTTTACTTAACTTTAACTAGACCCGATATCTCTTATGCAGTTGGTGTGATGAGTCGATACATGCAAAATCCAAAGAAGCCTCATTTGGATGCAGTTCGACGAATTTTGAGATATGTGAAGGATACAATGGATTGTGGTCTGTTGTACAAGAAAGATGAAGATTGCAAGCTAGCTGGCTACTGTGATGCTGATTATGCAGGAGATGACGACACCCGTAGATCAACTACCGGGTATGTGTTTATGCTTGGATCAGGAGCAATTTCATGGTATAGCAAGAGACAACCAACTGTATCTCTGTCAACAACGGAGGCAGAGTACCGAGCAGCAGCAGTGGCAGCTCAAGAGAGTACTTGGCTAATACAGCTGATGAACGATCTACATCAACTAGTGGACTATGCCATTCCATTGTACTGTGACAACCAGTCGGCAGTTCATTTGGCGGAGAATCCAGTCTTTCATGCAAGAACAAAACATGTGGAAGTGCATTATCATTTTATCAGGGAAAAGGTTCTGGAAGAAGAGATTGAGATGAGGCAAATTAAATCAGAAGACCAAGTCGCAGACTTATTCACAAAAGGTCTAAGTGGCAGCAAATTTGAAAGCTTTTGTCATCAGCTCGGCATGATAAAGAGTTTGGAAGCTGATGTTGAGGGAGAGTGTTAGAGTTATCAACATCAGCATGTGACTGTGAGGATGTGTTGAACAAGTCAAGTTTGTTTTGTTTTAGATATGCCTCTGTTCAGTTTTTTTTAATAAGTTAGGAATTGTCCTAGTCTTAGGGAGGTTGTTGCAGCATGTTGCTGCACATGTTATCTTTCTATTCCTATTTTTTAGTAAGTTTCTGTTGATGGTTTTGCCTATAAAAGGCTTGTGTCAGATGAAGTATTATGATTATCACATCAATAAAAGTATTTCTTTCCTCCTCTGTTTGCCTCAGTTATAGATTCTGTTCTACAAACCATTCCTCTCTCCCCAACCCTCTCAAGAAACCCCTTAGGCAGTGCTTCTTCAAGCTCAACTTTCTCTCCCATAGGAAACCTAACAACCCATATGAAATTAACCTTACTAAGCTCTATGCCATGGGCTATCTCTTCAATCTCATGCTTGGACAAAAAATACTCACTCCCAAAGGAAACAAACACAGTGGAGGACTCACCCTTCTTGTCAAGCCATTGCATGATCTCAGATTGCTCGATTTCATCGACAATGTCTTGAACAAGGGGACCAACAGGGACAACCTTCTTCTCATTTATAACCGACAGATAATCAATGTATTTTCCTTCAAGCTCTCTAAAAGTGTTGAACAGCAAGATGTTGCAAGATGGTTTGCCAGTTACAGGGGCATCTTGTTTGTTTTGGGGATGATTTACTGCAGACAACAGCGTATCGTGATACTGCTTTTCATGGAATTCCCGAAGCTTAATTTCTGGAAATGGGAATTCAACACCGCCATGGTTCTTAATGAAATGAATGCTATAAGAAACCACTGTAGTTCCTGTAGTCATGAACTGAACTACCGGAATATTAAACGGGGATGCAATGGTTGGTACCCATGCCTGGTTGATGTCATAAATAACTAAATCTGGGCTTAGTGTTTTGAAGATGTTGGAGGCATTTGGGATTGCCATATCCAAGGCGGTTAGGAGGGTGGAATTGAGATGGGTTGGGAGGCCATTTGTGGTGTGGTGGTGAGGAGGAAGCTCAGGCAAGGATGGTGTTAGAATTTACCATTCACACTCACCTACTACACTCCACCTACCACCAATTCACCCTCACCTACTCCTCACCTACTACCCAAACTCTCTCCTATATAATAACCCACTCTGATTTGTAATACAATACATCTTGTAATACATCAATACATCAATAATAATACATCAGTTATTTTTCATGGTATCAGAGCAAGGTTAAGACCTTAGTGCTTCCGCTTCACCGGCGGGCGGCAGCCTCGCCTTGGCCGTCCGCCGGACAAATCCAAATTTTCTAATTCTCTCTCTCTTCCGGCGAAAACCGACAAACAAACAAGATGCTGGCTCTTTCTCTCTCCTCTCCACGGCACTTCTCTCTCTTCAAGACCAAGTACGGCAAGTCCTATGCTACGCAGGAGGAGCACGATTACAGACTTGTGGTCTTCAAGTCTAACCTCCGCCGAGCCAAGCGCCTCCAGATTCTCGACCCCTCCGCCGTACACGGCGTCACAAAGTTCTCCGACCTTACTCCGGCAGAGTTCCGACATAAATTTCTAGGTCTGAAGCGGCCTCTCAAGCACCCGTCCGACGCTCAGAAAGTCCCATTTCTCCGGCGAGAATTTTATGTGCGAATTGATACTGGAAGTGACGTCTTGTGGGTCAGTTGCAATGCCTGCAAGATGCAACTTCATCATCTGAAACAGACCACCGTCACCATGTTCACCACCATGGCAAACCGTCCTTTCTTCTCCGCTTCCCTTGCAGACACGGGTGCCTCCATTGTCGACCTTCCTTTCCCGGAGAACATCAACGGATTACCTGCCGAAGTTGAGAGCACCGATGAACTCCCTTCCATGTCCCTCTTCGTGCCATTCGCCAACGCCACGAAACTTATGCAACCCGACTTCGAACAAGCTCTGGAGTTTCTCCCCACTGTCACCTGCCTCATATCTGATGGCTTCCTCGGTTGGACCCTTGAATCAGCATCCAAGTTTGGCATTCCGCGGCTTGCCTTTTACGGGTGGAGCTACTACTCCATGTGTGTGTCCCAAGACGTGGCTGTCCATGTGTGTGTCCCATTCTTCTTTCTTGTTTCCCTCTCCCCCTTTTTTTTTTTTTTTTTTTATATATATCTATTATCTCCCTTTTTATTATACTATAATATTTCTTTTATTTTAATATATGCCTATTATACTATATTCACTACAGCACCCACGTCCACTTCTGCAATTCACCCACAGCCTCCACCCACCAAAGCCATCATCATGTTCTTATCTCCTTTCCCTTTATTCCTTTATTTATTTATTTATTATTATTATTATTAAATAAATATACCAAAAATATGTATAAACACGATATAAAATAATTTGGCCAAAACGGTTGAAGGTTGGGATTAAAGCTTAAATCTGACTTTTTTGCTTAGAAATTCGTAATATAGCATATTCCAATTTTCATCATTGGGTGTTCAAAAGAAAGCACCCATGTCTTAGGACCGGTCAAAATGGGGTGTTTACAGTTGTTCCTCTTTGACAAAACTCAAAGTCATTTCTTGACATGAGTGAATGTCAAAGCCTGAAAACGGTCCTTTTGACAAGGCTGTAAGACTTGGGCAAACAAACAAGAAGCAAACACAAGTTGGTTGAATCTGAGGATTGCCTATGTATCCCTTTGCAAAGAATCAAACTAGTGTAGTTCAGGGACAAAATGCAAATGATATGCTCAAAATGCAATTTACAAGCTGGACTTACACGCTTCGCGAAGCCGGTTGTTTAAAAATTCATGATTATGCAATGCAATGCAATGTCATGGAGTGATGATAAAGATATGAAGATGGCAACATAAGAGGCAAGCTTCGTGCAAATGATATGAAATATAACAGGGAGTGCATCGCATTAAATGTGCCACAAGATCACATACAAATGTGCCACAACACAAATGATAGGTGAACTCGAAATCCAAACGCATCTTACGTGAGAAGAGAAAATAATGAACTCGAAATCCAAACGCATCTTACGTGAGAAGAGAAAATAATGAACTCGAAATCCAAACGCATCTTACGTGAGAAGAGAAAATAATGAACTCGAAATCCAAACGCATCTTACGTGAGAAGAGAAAATAATGAACTCGAAATCCAAACGCGTTTCACGCGGGAGGAGGTATAGTGGTGTAACCAACAAATGTTCCTAGCCGTATTTTATACGGAGAGGGAGAAGGTTTTAACCAGGTAAACATCTAATCCTAACACGTTTCATATGA